GAACAGTCTTTAATCATCATCTCATAATAAGATCATAAATATCTGTGATGTCCACTGACATGGACTATATCTATTATTAATATACCAATACTCTATGGAGTTTGCATGTATGTATACCTTATATTTTCATTTTTAAAATAAAGTACATATCCAGTCCTGTTTGTGAAGTTGGTATTCTATATGTAAACTGACACAAAGTTGTCTTCCTGAATCTAAAGCCTAATAGCTCCAGTGATTACTCCTGCTTTTTGCTTAGATTTCAATTATTGTGTATTTTATTTCTATAGGTGTTCTTAGCTATGGCCTTGTCTATACAGAAGCATTGAAGTGTTTTAACTAAATCTGTTTCTGAATGGTTCAGTGAAAACAAAAACAACACCTTGCCTAAAAATGCATAAATAGGTTTGAGCAACGTATAGTTTACTTTTAAATTAGTGTAACTTGTTTGTAAATAAGGCATATGTTTGTAAATAAAGCACATTTTATAAATCTAAACAAATTTCTTTGTATGAAAAATACACCATGAGGCATTAGATAGCAGTATTATATCATTATCCATAACACCACCAAGAATAATTGAAGATTTCTCCCCAATAAATGGGTTAAAGTGACTTCAAAACATTCTACTAACTTACAGTGGTATTGGAAGTGATTTTAAAGAGTTACTCCTGAGGGTATTCTGCACCAAAAAATTAAAAATTCTGCGCACAATATTTTAAAATTCTGCAAATTTTGTCATATAAATGTGGAGGCCCCAGCATGGCATTGGGGAGCACAGGCAACTGCCTGCACAGAGGTAGGAGATCACTCTGCAGCTCTCCACCGCCTCCCATCGGGACATGGCTCAGCAGTGAGGCTGCACCCAATCCTGACACAGCACAAGGATCGAGCCTCTCCCAGACAGCACCCTACGTACCAGGTGCACCAGGTGTGGGCAGGCAGGCTCAGCCTGGCAGGATCTAAGTGTGGAGGGACTTAGTGTGGGGGGATCCAGGTGTGCATTGAGAGGGTTCTGTGTGGGGCAATCTGGGTGCGGGAGGCGATCTGGATGCACAGGGGCTTGTTGAGTGGTTCTGGGTGCAATGGTAATGGGGCTCTGCAGGGGGGGTCCAGGTAGGAGGGTCGGGGTATGAGGGGCTCCGGATGCATGGAGGTTGGGCGAATGGGGGAGCAGCTCCCCGTACAGTGATCCCTCCCCCTGCAGCTGAGGAGTGATGGGTGGGGAGTTTGCAGAGCTTCCTGTAGCCTGGGGAGAAATCTGGGGGTGGGTCTGACCCAGCCCCGGAGGCCGTGCAGGGGAAGAGGAAGTCCCATCCTCCCCAGCCCAGCCAGACCTAGCAGCTGAGCCTAGTGCAGGGTAAGAGCCACCAGCAGGGTCTTCCCCAGTCCCGCGCCCTGCCCCACATTGATTTACTACTCTGCCAGTTGCCCTAGGCACCCAAAACATACTGCTGGGGAGGGTCGCATGACTGCTCTTGTGGCTTCCCTTAGCTTCCCTATCAGAGAGTCATTTTTCCGTGGGGAAGCAAAGAAATCTGCAGAGGACATGAATTCTGCGCATGTGCAGTGGTGCAGAATTCCCTCAGAAGTAAAGAGTACACTATCATTCAAATTTATTTGAGCATAAGCTTTCATGGGCTACAGCCCACTTCATCCGATGAAAGCTTATGCTCAAATAAATTTGTTAGTCTCTAAGGTGTTCTTTTTATGGATACAGACTAACACGGCTGCTACTCTGAAACCTGTCACTATAATTCAAAAGCATACAGAACACAAGACAAACTGACTTCTGACTACAGAAAGATTTTCCAATACTGTTGATATAAGAATGAGTGCTTATAACTTAAACCACTGAATAAATATTAATTAACTATCATTTCACCACTGAGAGTTAATTTTTTAATCATGCTCATCTCACGATTTTAAAATCTGCTGTGAAAGTGTTCTTAAAACAAATATGTGCTGAGTCACCATCCAAGACTGCTATAACATGAAATATATAGCACAACGCAGGTAAAACAGAACAGGAGACATACAATTCTCCCCCAAGGAGTTCAGTTGCAAATTCAATTAAGGCTTTTTTTTTTTAAACGAGTATCATCAGCATGGAAGTATGGCCTCTGGAATGGTGGCCGAAGCATGAAGCGGCATACGGATATTTAGCATATCTGGCATGTAAATTCCTTGCAACACTGGCTACTAAAGTGCTATGTGAATGCCTGTTCTCACTTTCAGGTGACATTGTAAATAAGAAGCAGTCAGCAGTATCTCCCGTGAAGGTAAACAAACTTGTCTGTCTTAGCAATTAGCTGAACAAGAAGTAGGACTGAGTGGACTTGTAGGCTCTAAAGTTTTACATTTTTTTTTTGTTACTCAAAAACAAAACAATCTACATTTGTAAGTTACAATTTCTTTATCATGAAAGTGTACTACAGTACATGTTTGAGGTAAAATGAAAAATACTATTTCTTTTGTCATTCTTACAGTGCAAATGTTTGTAATAAAAAATAATAATATAAAGTGAGCATGGTACACTTAGTATTCTGTGTTGTAACAGAAATCAATATATTTGAAAATGTAGAAAAAATCCAAAAATATTTAATACATTTCAGTTGGTATTTTATTGTTTAACAATGCAATTAATCGCGATTAATTTTTTCAATCACGATTAATTTTTTTTAATCACCTGAGTTAAGTGTGATTAATCAACAGTCCTAGTTGTGAATACACTATATCCATCAACGCAGCAAAGCTAAGTGTCTACAGAAAATCGGGTTGGTTTAACTACATTGGTCAGAGGTGCGAAAAATCCACACCCTGAGCAGAGTTGTTAAGCCAATTTAAGTCTCCTTGTAGACAGCACAAGGTCAACAGAAGAAATCTTCCATCAACCTAGCTATTGCCTCTTGGGGACGTGGACTGCCTATACCAATAGGAGAACCCCTCCCATCACAATAGTGCAGCCATGCTGCTACAGCGTTTTAATCAGACCCTGTGATATGAACTGAAGAGACAGCAAGCAGGTGTGAAGAGAGAGAAAGAGGAAAAAGTGTTGTTGGGTGGGAGCTCAAGCACGTTTGGCAATATTGGCCCGGAATCAACCCAAAAGATATTTCTAAACACACCAAGGCAACAAAAAAAGTGTTTTTAAGATTTTTTTTAAAATACCGATTCACACTATTTCAAAGGTGCTCTATTAAGAAAACAAGTTACCGTATATACTCGTTCATTAGCCCGTTCGTTTATAAGCCGACCCCCCAAGATGGTTAGGTAAAAATAGCAAAAACTGTATGACCCTTTCATAAGCCGATCCTATATTTCAGGGGTTGGCAAACTTTGACTCCCGGATGTCGGAGTAAGCAGCTGGCGGGTCGGGACGTTTTGTTTATTTAGAGCGTTATTTGGAGCAGCCAATGGGAGCTGTGGGAATGGCGAACTGTGGCCACAGGGAGCTGAGGGGCTCCATGCCTGCAGACGCTCCAAGTAAACAAAACAACAATGTATTAGATATTCAATTCAATGATTCCATAGAGTTTAAAATCATCAAATTTTGGTGTAGACCCATTTATAAGCCGACCCCCGCTCTTTGATATGTCACTTTTTTACCAAAAATATTCGACTTATGAACAAGTAGTATATACGGTAATTAAAAATATCAGTGTTTCTTTAAAAGGAAATATAAGTAAAGGACACTGAGAAAGGGGTAACAAGATAATGTAAGAACAAGACAAAGTGATAACAGCAAGAACTACTAAATAGAAGAATCAAGGTTCGCTGCACTAATCTAGACTTCACACAAACTAAGTTCTGCCAAGCCTTTTTTTTTAAATGTCATTCCCTGTTATTTTTCCACTGACACAGGGTTATTTTCTGACTTTACTACTATATGATCCACCTATTTAGGACTTAATGGCTTTGGGGCAATCCTGTACATTTACATACACTGAACATTAAGCATGCACATAAGTGCATGCAGGATTGGGGCTTTAAGGTCCTCGTCACAGCTGTTCAGCCTCTACTGGATACTACTTGGGTAAACTGATCAAAATCAGGAGAGCACAGGTTGGTAGAAATGACCACTCAAGGCAACTAAACTGTATTTCCTAGGAATATGTACATAAACTTAAAACTCAAGTTGTGGAGCTAGAATATTGTGCTTTGTACCACTTGATGATTACCTCTTCTGGTCATTCCCTCTGGGGCTCCTGGCATTGGCCACTGTATGAAGACAGGTACTGGGCTAGATGGGCTTTTGGTCTGACCCAGTATGGCTGTTCTTATGTACCATTTGGTATTGAGCTTTCTGGCTCATGAGTTACCAGCAGGACTGTAGCAGGTGGGGGTTATAATGCTATTGCTGTAATTTCAACTATATATATTTTCCACGTATAAGAGTTGGGCCTCAACTGCTGCCTGTAATACTGACTAATACTATCTCATTATTTTCTTGTACCTGCCCATCCATATGTATCCACATATCTCCCTCCGGGGAAAAGCTAAGGAAGGGGTTCTCAAACAGGGGGTCGGGACCCCTCAAGGAGTCACAAGGTTATTACGTGGGGGGGTCATAAGCTCACAGACTCCACTCCAAGCCCCACTTTGCCTCTAACATTTATAATGGTTTTAAATACATAAAAAGTGTTTTTAATTTATAAGGGGCGGTCGCACTCAAAGGCTTGCTATGTGAAAGGGGTCACCAGTAGAAAAGTTTGAGAACCACTGGGCTAAGGGAACATACATAGCAAAAATGGAGCCCCCTCACTTACTGCACCAGTGGAAGGTGCGCAGATGCTACGGTGAAGCCTGCGGTGTAAAACACCAATCAGAGTACAACCTGTACAGCTCAACGTGCTTTACAAAGAACATAAGCACATCATTCTCCCCCACCCCGGTTTTTTAGACAGGAGAAAACTGAGGCACGGAGAGGGGAAGTGACTTGGCCAAGGTCAGCCATTGGCAGAGCTGCAGCCCCCCTCCCCAGCTGCTGAAGTCCGGTCCCTAAGCGAACACAAGCATATGGCTGGTGGCTCAGCAGAGACACTTGCACCTGCAACCCCCGCCCTGGTTCCGCTCCCCCTGCGGACAGCGCGGGTTGAGCCGGGCCCCCTGCCAAGCAGCAACAGGCGGAGAACAGCGGCCCGCGACACGCGAGAAGACCCGCCTCAGGACTCCCGAAGGCATGTCCCGCCCCGCGCCCGAGGCGGACCCGGCGGACCTCCGCGCTGCGGCCCGTGCGCGGTGCGGGCAGAGCTGGGCGCAGACAGCAGCCCGTGTCCCGGCGCTTCCCCCTCCACAACGGCAGGGGGCGCAGCTGCCAGGCCCCGCTGCCCGGCTCGAGCTGACCGCGCGCCCCGCTCCTCACCTACAGCGCCCGCACTCGGCCCGCCTCACGCAGCGCTCCACGGGCAGCTCCCACAGACCCTCGCAGCCGCCATCTTCCCGCTCTGCTGCTTCCTCCACGGGCCCTTCCGCGACGCCCGACTCCTCGCTCCCAGTAACTGCCGTCTCCATTTCGCCGCCGGCTAGGCAGAGCCGGGGCTCAAGGCTGCGATGTGGGAGGTAGCCGCCAGGTGGCGCTAAGAGGCAGCGAAAGGCGATGGTCGGTTGGGAGCCTGGGTAAGGCCGCGGGGCCCCGTCACGTGTGGTGTGGGGGGGTCAAGCGCCTATCGCGGGAGCGCCCCCCTGGGCTGCTCAACCAATCACAAGGCCAGATAGGATCACTATTCCCGCCTGGGGGGG